CACGTCGTAGCCCCATTTTAGGTATTCCAATCAGTTATAGTCAGAAGACGGACTTACAAGCTTTCTATGGTGATGCTTTTTAAAACAGACATATACTTTTAAAAATTAGCAGTTGTATTCAATGTTTATCTGAGTGCCTCATTTTTTTTTTTTAAGTTTTGTTTGAATCAGGATTTTAAAAAAGATATATTGTGATTGGTAATGTGTTCTTAAGTTTCTTTTAATGTGTAGGCTTTTCTTCTAGTTTCCATTTTTCCTTACAATTTTTCCATTGAGGAAACTAGACCTATAAATTTCCCATAGTCTGGACTTCATTGATTGTATCTTTGTGGTATCATGTAACATGTTCCTCGATCCAGTGAATTCAATGTAAGTTGGACTTAGAGGCTTGGTTAGGGTTTGTTGTTGTTGCTAAATGCTATGGAGTTGGTTCTGAATCATAGCAATCTTATACAGGGTTTCCAAGGCTATAAATCTTTGCAGGAATAGCAAGCCCCCTCTTTCTCCTGTGGAATGGCTGGTGGGCTGGATCTATCAACTTCATGGTTTGCAATCCAGTACTTATCCTATGGAGCTACTACGCTCCCCTGGTGAGGTCAGACTTATTTATTTAGGTAAGACTTCATCAAAGGCAGTGTTGTATATTTCTATCAGAAGGACATAATGACTGGTTCTCTTCGGTGATATTAGCAGAAATGATCATTACCCAGGTATGTTAATTAATTAGGGACTGAAAAATGGTAATTTGCTAATTATCATTCCAGAGGATGAACTGTAAGTACTGTATGATGAATGGATTATTTTTTATTGTGAACTGAGTGATAGTTACATGGGAGAATATCAGCGTTACATCATCATTTCATTGCAGTGATTACAATCTACTTTGTGCATTATCATTCAACAGTATTTTCTTCCATTCCCTCTGTTTTTCTTTATTTTTTTAGGGGGTGGTTCAGGGGGAGGTGGGGAGATGTACACAAACACACTCAGTAATATATAATAATATACAACCATAGGGCACATTTTGTAAGCCTGCCTCCTGACCACACTCAGTCCTTCTCTTTC